TAAGGTATTAGTCGCAATTTTACTGCACCTTCCAACAATTCACCGGTGTTGCCAAAATAAGTGAATTAGAGCTAAACGTATGATATGAATGCAACATAAATTGCATAGAACTGACAAAGCAACTGGCTTCAAACTATGATTTTGTATAACTTGATTTAGAAAGTTCAGAAAGACTTCTGCTGCTCAGGGGATTACACTTGTCGCTACTGTTTACATCATCTGTAACAATTTAGATTAAAGATCAGGTTAATTAAGTGACTAGAGGTAAAGAACTCACAGTTGTTGATGCGGAAAATGTAACTGTTTATTAACAATTAGTCATCAATGGAAGATTTTAAAAAATTGAACTGATTAAATTCAGGTTAAACTATTTTAAAAAAATATAAACCTGAATTAGATTTTTTCCAACAATTTCATATCTTATGAGTTGGTCTGTTTGTATGAAGTGAAATGAAGTGTTGGGTTGAGAGAGTCGCAAGAATGGACCTAATACTGAGGGAGACTGGGTTTATGTCTTGGATTGAGAATAGCCAAAGTAAATTTTGAGTTACTCCAATGTTTCCATAAACAAAATCTCATCTCCTCAATCTCCCAATGGTAAAAATGTTGAATGTGGATAATAATGCATATCTGACATTTAGTCTGCCAGTAATTATGGAATATTTCTACTCTCAGATCAGATTTTCAGACATATACACTTTCACTGGACCCTTCATCATTATATACATCAGATATTTTTCAAAAGATCCATAATTTACGTTATCTGAGAGGTTTAACAATGTCATGGGATGCAAATAAATGTACAGTTGTAATAACCTGTACATTAGTGTATCACAAAATGACCCAATTGAAGTTTGATGCTTGCATTTTTAAATGCAGCCATTTGTATGATTACATATCATCTTTGCAATAAACTTGCTTACTCACTTTCTTTATTATTTTGCAATTTACTTCTTTATCTGAAAAATACTTTCACTGATTTCCTCTACTGAAAAGTCACTGTCTGATTCAGGGGGAAAAAATAAGCTTTCACTCGTTTTCTCCTTCAACTTTTCCCCCTCTATTGAAGTTACTAACTTGATATGGTCTATGGATAAGCCTTCTGATACTTGGGCCTAATGTCTTTTCACAAAAGATCTTAGATAATGAGTGTCAGAAGGTACTTGAAGGTGGTGGGAACATCATAACAAGTTTATTTGTTTCCAAGTGTTCACGTGGACAATTTCTTGGGAAAGGGGAACAGGGTATTTGTGGTCATTGGATCAGTGGAGAATTGTGGTTGAAGTTTGCTGCCTGGGTATGGACTGAGAACTATCATTGTGACCTGATCAGAATGGCATCTTAGCAATACTTCCTGTGTATTGACCATTTGCACAAGTTTTCAAATTTTGTAATAATTAATCAACTATTAATAATGAAATAAATTGATAATGTCATAATTAATCCTTGCATTTGATGTAGCACTTTATCACGCCATCAAGCCATCTCAAAGACCCTCACAGGATTTACTGTCAAGCGTAGTGACTGTATTGCTGTATTGTTATAAACCTTTTCCCCTCCCCCCCCCCCCCCCCCCCACCACCCCACACTTACGTATGGGAGAGGCAGAGATATAAACAGGAATTAGAATTTTATGTTTAAAACTGGTTTTATAATCATTGTCCAAACACTGATGGCTTTATATGTAATCTACTGCCATCTTCAAAGTAATAGTTGAAAACGTTTATACCTTTACTAAATGGCAGAAATAGCAGTATTGCAAGACTCAATACCTTATTGATAACAGAAGTAAGACATTTCACATCTGAGTCTGATTAATGCTGAAGAGGGGAACTCAGACAGTAGTTTCAGGACATGAAAATGAAATCAACATTCCTCGAGGAGCTTGGGGAATTGGATTTTTTTTCCTCTCTGGAGCAGGCTCCCACCAAAAGTAGTTAAACCTTTTTTGTTTTGAAGCACGTTTGATCAAGTGCCCTGAGCGTCAACTTGTTTTATTGAGACCATGGAAATGTGCCGTGGAATGCACTGAGCTACTATGAATAACTTTGATTAACATGGATGTTTTACTTTCTTGACAGCCCTGGTCAAAGTCACTAACGACATTCTGAACGTCTGCGACCAGGGATCTCTCTGCCTCCTTGTCCTCCTTGACCTCTCTGCTGCCATCGACACTGTCGACCATTCTATTCTACACTACTTCGCCTCTCAGCTCAATCTTCACAGACCTGCCCTTGCCTGCTTCGAATCCTACCTCTCCCACCGTCTCCACTTCATCTCCACAAACAGTTTCTTCTCTAGCCCCTGCACCATCTGTGTGGTGCTCCTCAGGGCTCTGTCCTTGGCCCTCTCCTTTTCAATATCTATATGCTCTCCCCGTTGGTGACATCATCCGCAGTTCCACATGTATGCGGATGACACCCAACTCTACCTCTCTGCCTCCACCATCAATTCCAGGACCACTGCTATCCTCACTGACTGCCTGTCGGATCATCAAGCCCTGGATGAGAGCTAACTTCCTGCAGTTGAATGTCAACAAGACTGAGGGCCTCCTGCTTGGCTCCCGTCAGCGCTTCCATACCTCGGCCGCTGACAGCATCTCTCTCCTGGATGCACTCTACATCTCATGGAGCCAATACGGAACCTCAGCGTCCTGTTCGACACGCAACTGTCCTTCATACCCCACATCTGGCCATGACCTGCTAAGCCTTTCCCCACCTCTGCAATATTGCTCGGCTCCACCACTTTCGCACACTACAGGCCGCCAAGACCCTCATACACGCATTCATAACATCCAGGCTCATTTACACAAACTGTCTGTTTGTCGGCCTCCCCAACTTCTCCCTCCATAGGCTGCAGATCATTCAGAACTCTGCAGCCCGTGTCCTCTCCCGGACCAGGCTCCACGACGCTGTCACCCCCAATCTGCCCAACACCATTGGCTTCCCATCATACAGAGGATACAGTTCAAGATCCTGGTTCTCACTTTCAAAGCTCTCCATGGCCTTGCTCCCCCCTACCTCTGTGACCTCCTAACACCCTACCAATAGGCTCCCTCCCTCTGCTCAGTGGGCTCTGGCCTGCTGCACCTCGCCCACACCCCCCCACCATTGGCGGTGTAACTTCAGCCACGCTGCCTCCACCCTCTGGAATTCCATCCTCAATCCCTCCACCTCGCCCCCTCGCTTGCCTTCTTCAAGACCGGTCTCAAGATCCTCCTCTTCGACCGTACCTTCGGTCACCCTCCTTCCCTCCCTGATCCTGAACCCAGCTCGGGTTTGATACACTGACTGTCCAGCGCCTCGGTGCATCCTCCCAACGTGAAAGGCGCTATACAAATGCTAATTTTGTTGTTTTCTGGCTATAATCGTTGGCTCACGACTTGTAGTTTATCTCCCCCGGGATGAACTGTTGGAAAGTTCATGATGGTGCTTCTATTTTGTGTTTTATAGGCATGTTTGTTGAGGTGGTCCAACATGCTCAGTTAACCGTAATATTGCACAATCTGTATTCTACCAATTCTTGCTGTTGTGTTTTTGCCTTGTGTTCTTACCCCAGGGATTTACAGCCATTGCTGTATTGGAACACTTTATTGAGCACTGATCTGATAGGTCTCCTGGTTACTGTGAATGAATCTGTGAAACCATCCACCAAAGATGTTGTGCTTTTATTTTAAAAAGAACACCTCTGACATTGTGTTGCATTGGCAGCTGAGAGGAATGAGGGATTCCATGAGAATTCACACCAACTCTTTAAAAACTGTAATCAAAATAGATTTTCTCAGGTTTCCATGGGTCAGTGTGGGGTACTTTGTTATTCAGAGTTTTTTTCTATTTGCATGAGTCTGATGTTAAATACTATAGATAATTTCCTAATCTGGAATACTGTGCAGTTGACTTTCAAGGGATAGAGTGTTGGATAACTCATAATCAGTAAAACATTAAGGAAATTTAGTCTGTTCTCTGAAAGTAAGATTTTGAAATTTTGATTGAAGTTTTCAAAATTATGAAGGGGATTAACAAAATTGAGCAGAATTAATTCACAATCGGTCAAAATGAAACAAATTCACCTGGGAAAGAGTTCAAATACAGGAAGATACAAAATATATTTTGAAGGAGGATAAATGGGATGAGGTTACAATAATAGATATGTACTAATTTAATACTGTTGAAGCAAAATTGTTGCATTCAATTCCCTGGCGTTTATGTATGTGGTGATTAATGCCCCTTCCGCCACCCTCCTGCCCTCCACCGTCCCTCATCCTAACCCCCCTGCTCGGATCAAAATTCCTGACTGTCCAGAGCCTTGGGACATCCGCCCAATGTGAAAGGCGCTTGACAAATGTAATTGTATTGCATTCTGTTTCCTGAAGCGTTTTCCGGGAATATTTTATTCATTCGATGAGGAAGAAACATGAACTGTTGTTTTTCACTCGTATTAATCTTTTACTTATTAAAATATTCTTCTTATTATCTTTTGCTTGCAAGAGACCACCTATTCCACTCCTAATTTTGCAACTCAATAAATTATGAGATCTTTATCCCAACTGACAAATAACCTCCAAGTATACTGTTCATGATTCGGTGTCCTACACAGATAGTAATATTGGACATTGAGCGCATACATTGCAGCGTGCTAGTTTTGTCAAAAATACTCCACATAGTGCAGTTACCAACGCAGCCACTCGCTTCGCTCAGCAAGCCTAGTCTGTTTCATGTCTCCCACCCTATCCACTCCACTATTGGCAGATGGGCTATCAGCCATTCTGCCACTGCTCTCTGGAACTCCATCACGGAATCCGTCTGACTCCTTCCCACCCACCCTTCTTTCAAGGTACATCTAAAAATGTGCCTCCTTGCACGCACTTTTAGTTATCTTTCCAGCACTGGGAAGAGCTTTGGGATTTCCTCCCAATGCTATATAAGTGTAAATTGTATTATATTGCAGGAATAAGACATGATGTTCTAATAAATAATTTAAAGGTCCTAATTGTTTTACAGGAAGGACTCTGTTGGAAAAGCTCTTTGGGCAGCAAGAGAACGTGCAGCTTGTGGGCGAGCAGGAAGAAGCGGAGAAACTTTGCTCTCGTATTCTAGCTATGGGTCTACTACTTCCATTTGGGGACTGTTTTAGAGAACAGTGTGGTGGAGAAGCTCTTCAAAATACTACCAAGTTTGATGTAAGTCATTTTATTACTGTAAAATACCAACTAAATTATTTTTTTCCCTAAACAGAAGATACAACTGGAAATGTTTTTCTTTATTGGGTAAGTAGAAGTATGGCATGGAAAAGTTGTAGTTTGCCAATATTTCATCGAAACCAACTGCATTTATACAGCATCCTTCACTCAGGATAGTATCTCAGAGCACTGCACAATGGCAGGGTTGGATTCCAAACAAGGGAATAGTGACCATAGGCACAGTCAAAGAGAGAGTAATTCAGGGCAAATGAGCAGGACAAGTTTACCATACTTGTTGAGTGTGTTACCAATATGCAAGGTTTGTTTTTAACAAAAAGGTTGAGTTGGGAATAGGTTTTAATTCTAGGTGGATTGCCAGTCTGTTTAGTTAACCAATCTCGGCCAATGCAACAGTTGGGACAGAAGCCTTAGCCCCAACAGATTACTTCTATTACTGCATGTGATCAGTATCATATTATTGTAACCTCCACAAAAAATGATCATGTGCATTGTCCCAAGTATGCTCAAGGCCCAAATCTGCTCTGAACTGTTGTACCTAGCAATGTCTCAGATGCCCACGAGTCTGCCTCCAGATGTGGTTTGGTTCATCGGGAGCATAAAATCAATGCATGCTCCAGTTTTTTATCCCTGTACTCTGACATTCCCTATTCGTCCCTCCCATTCCCACACCACACACACTGTAAGGACAATTAGAGTTGATGACAGTGCCCTACATTCCCATTGAATACCCCCTGTCCCTGTGGTAGGATAGTCTGTTTTTCCAATTGTCTTAGCTCACACGTGAATAAATAGCCTATTGAACATGATACCGAAGGAGAACTGGAGACAATAGAATCCTGACCCACTGAAAGAAAAGGAGACAACTGCCTGTGGGAGAGGAAAATTGATGAGGAAACCAATTCCAGGTGGGACTTACCCTAGACTAGGAGATGAAACTTGAGCAAATATTTTTGTGTTAAACAAGGTCTTTAGTGTGGCTGTTAAATGGACTAAGGACGCACTTGTTGCATTAATAAGATTTGAGACTGAGTGGGAGTCATGCTGAAATGATTATGTGAGTTTTTTGTAGCTGGAATGTGAAATTAAGATATAAAATTGAGGCAACTTGGTATGGTTGTTGGAGCTGCAGATTTTGTTGGATTGAAAGGTAAGGGTAACTTACACGTATTACAATAATTAAAAAATATTTTGAATTATTGTAATACATGCATGCTTTTGTTTAAATTGGGTTTTCCATGCAATACACACTTGTGATTGTGGGAAGACTATGATCAGCTCTCCAGTCTTATTGACTGTTTTTGTGTTTCACTGGATGTTTCCTTGCATTTGTCATTGTTCCCCTGTAAGTAAATTTAACCATGATTTATGAGACCTTAAAGCCTACTCATGTATAGATTTGATAATGGTATCAGCAAATTTTATACATAGGGGCAAAGGAGTACAAAACTAAAGTAAGAAACCAAAGATTTAGAAGAATGATACGAGGGATGGGAAACTATAGTTGTGAGGAGAGATTGGAGAAGCTAGGGCTGTTTTTATTGAAGCAAAGAGAGTTGAGAGAAGACCTGAGAGAATGGTTTTGACAGGGTAAATGGGGAGATGGAGGAGTAAGTAGCTAGAGGATATAGATATGACTGTCACAAGGAGAGCTGAGAGGTAATTTTTTTCACTATAGAGTTGCTGGGATGTGGAATTCCCTGCCAAGTAAATGGGTAGAGATCAACTATTGCAATATTGTGCACATCAAACATTTAAGCTTCTGTAGACCTTTTGCTTGGACAGACTGGTGTTTGACATCTGCGGAGACTCCTCACTATTCATTTAAGAGAACATATAATTGAGGCAAGTTGGTATGACTTGATCAATTTATGTATGCTGCTTTATGCAAGGACATTTCTTGTGGGAATGGAATGTGTTTTCTTTCTGGAGGGATGCTTCCTGGAGAAAAGCACCCTGCTTGCCTAATTCTGGGAAATATTAGGCACGGGTTCACAAGAGCCGAGGCTTGGAGATCACAGAGCATGCATTGGGATACTTCTGGAGTTTAACCAGCTGAAACTGCATAGCTTGCCATTCGAAAGTATTGTCTGGCAAGCTTTCCACTATTTGTTCAGTATCCTGGCCAAAAGTCCAACCAGGCTAAATCATCAGGTTGGTCTGTCATCAACAGTGCCCTGGAATATTGCGGACTAACCTAGCTCAGGAACTGGACTACTGAGACCACCACAGGGTTGATTTACTTCCGTCAATCCATTACATGTCTTCTTGGAGCCAACTAAATGCGAGGAGACCCTGACATATCTCACTTCTCCCTCATGGAGAATCATCACTAGTTGGTAATCAAGAATACAATGCATTAAAATAATAATCTTTGCATTTGATATAGCGCCTTATCACGTCTCCTAGACATCTCAAAGTGCTTCACAGAATATACTGTAAAGTGAATTGACTGTATATTTGTGGGCGAAACGTGGCAACCAGTTGTGCACAGCAGTGTCCCACAAACAATTGTGGACCAAATGACCAAACTATTATGCTGTTTTTTTTTCTTGTGGGATTATTATCCCCAGAAAAGCGATCCACCGATCGACTAACACCAGGCTCCTATTTACTGCTAAGTAAGCAGAGGCGTGTGGAGTAAGGAAACTTGCCCAGTATTTCGCCCTGCTGGGAATCGAACCTAGGTAGTTGTACATTTTTTTGGAAAGTTCAGTTTGTTCATTTCAAAACCCACTTCCTTATATCCCTTTGTATCGCCCTTTCCTTCAAAGGCCTTCCTCTTTGACCATATCTTTCTTGTGTTTTGTCAACAGCTCACTACATTCTCCATCAGTGCCTTCTCTCCTCAGACACTGACAGCATCAATCTACATGGCTGCACACTCCATCTCACAGAGCCAGATTTGTTTGATTCTCAACTGTTCTTTAAACCTGATGTGCAGGCTCCGACCTGTTTAGCTTTTTGCAACTTCTGACGCATTGCCTGCCTCCACTGCAACCTCTTTCCTCAGGCTGGTGTGACTCTTGTCCAGGCTTGGCTATAGCAAATCTCTGCTTCCCAACTCTTACCTCCACAACCTGTAGACAATTCAGCAACTTAAGTCCTCCCCTGCAGTAGGCTCTGAGCTTATTACCCCTATCCTTGCCGACTCCACTGGCCACCCAAACCCAGTGGGTCAAGTTCAAGATTCTTGTCATTTTTAAAACCTTCCACAGTCTTGCCCCACCCTACCTCTATGACCTTCTAAACCCCAACCAACCAGTCCGCTCACTCTACTCAGCAGGCACTGGCCTGCTTTACGTCCCCATTCTACTTGCCCTACCATTGGTAGGTGGGCTTCTAGTCTTTCTTCCCCGACTCTGGAACTCTGTCCTTTTGTCTCGGCCCTTGCTTCAAAGTCTGTCTTGAGGCCTTCCTCTTTGATGGTGTGTTCGGTCATACTACTATCCCATTTCCAACCTACCCTGCCTTGCTAAAGTTCTGGAACACATAGTTGCAGGTCAACTTCGGTCACACTTATTCCTCCTCGAGTCCCTGCAGTCTGGTTTTTGCCCTGCCCACGCACAGAGACAGCACTTGTCAAAGTCAAAAATGACATCTGCTCTATCTGTGACCAGGGCTCCCTCTGCCCCCTCATCCTCCTGGACCTCTCTGCTGTGTTCGACATAGTTGACCACGCTATCCTCCTCCACTGCCTCTCGTCCTTCATCCACCTTAGTGGGTCTTCACTTGCATGGTTCGAATTCTACTTAATCAAAGGCCTCCACTTCACCTTAGCAAATGGTTTCTCCTACCGCCCCTGGTCGGTCACCTACGGGATACCCCAGAGCTTCATCCTTCTTTTTTTCATCTATGTGCTCCCTCTTGCCAATGTTGTCCACAGACACGGGATAAATAAACTTCCACATGTATGCGGATGACACACAAATCTACTTTGTCTCCTGCAGCATCGACTCCAGGTCTACCGATCTTCTATCAGCTTGTTCGGCAGACACCAGGGCCTGGATGAGTGCAAACTTCCAGCAGCTGAACATGGACAAGACTGAAGTCGTACTCTTTGTCTCCCGTCAATGTCTTCACTCCTGTGGATTTGACTTCCTCAACCTCCCTGGGCTCTCCCTCAGACTCACCGAACCAGTGTGCAATCTTGGCATCTGGTTCGACCCCCACATCTGGTCCTTGACGAGGACCACCTTCCTCCACTTCTGCCACATTGCCCGCCTCCGGTCATAGCTTACCCCATATGCAGTTGAAACCCTTGTGCATGCGTTTGTTATCTCCCGCCTGGATTACAAACGTACTCCTCACCAGTCTGCGTACCCCCAACTCACCAGTTCTGGACAGGTTCCACTGGCTCCCCATCACCGAATGGATCAACTTGAAGATCCTCACACTCGTGTTCAAATCCATTCACTCCCTGGCACTTCCCTACCTCTCCGACCTCCTCACATCCCAATCCACCACCCAGTACCTCCATTTGATTGATATGGGCCTCCTGCTTGTCCCTTACACCCTCTGCCCTACCATTGGAGGTTGCGCTTTCAACCACTACACCCTGAATCTCTGGAACACTTTCATGCATTCCCCCCTCTCTCTCCTTTTTCAAGTCCTGCCTGAAAACCTTCCTTTTCGGTCACCTCCCCACCCCAAGGTACATACCTTGTAATCAGTCTAGAAAATGAATTGTGATGAAGTTACACTCCAATACATTAGTGACAGATGTTTGGAGATTGCACAAAACTTTTAAATTATCAGTTTATCATATTGTTATATTGGAATTAATTTATTTGCTTCTTGAGTATCTTCAGCACTCCGAGCTTATTTGTTGAGGGAATTCCTAACCTTGACTTTGCAAAAGTGATTGATGGCCAGGACATCAGGGAAAATTCCATTCTCTTCTTGAATAGTGTCATGGGATCTTTAATGTCCACCTGAATAGACAAATGGTGCCTTGGTTTAACATTTCATCTGAAGGACGT